TTTCACATTCCATTGCGTGTGTTTTACCAACAACCCTAAATAGCCGACTTCCTGTTGGGCTGGGGTAAAAAGTAAGAGTGTGAAGTATATATGAAACGAGGAGATCTACATGTGTACCGAGTTTCATATTATTACATGCAAGCGTGTTTGATTTATGGACCATGTTTTCGGACCCCGTTCCAGGGGGCGCTGTCGAGCCCCCCTGCCACGCCCGGGTACCATCTTCAGCCCGGCCCTGATGGCCGCGGGTTCTGACATGTGTGCAAAGTTTCAGGAGTTTTTGAGCATGTTAAGGCCTCCAAAAGTGTCCAAAAGGTAGCAGAAAAATAATAATAATAATAATAATAATAATAATAATAATAATAATAATAATAATAATAATAAATAATCCTAAGGAAAACAATAGGGCCTTCGCCCTTTGGGCTTGGGCCCTAAAAATTATTTAGATACAGACAAATGGTTTGATTTGGACTGTAAGGCTCTGAGAAAAAACCTCAGAAATTTATCAAACCAAAAACACAGACAACCAGATAATTCGGACCTCCGCCTTCTTTACTGTGAGGCATTAAAACAATATAAAGCCACACTCTGGCGGAAAAAAGCACAGTTTCTGCAAAACCAGTTTGAAGAAATTGAAAAATGTATAAACTCACACAAATTTTGGGATAAATGGAAATTGTTATACAAACCAAATCGAGAAGTTCTGGCAATCCAAGACGGCGAGAAGTGGAAAAACCACTTCCAAGAACTATACAGCCCAACTGAAATTCAAAATTATAAACAAAATGAAATAATTAATAAACTAGACAATTTGGAAAGATCAATTAAAGAAAATCAAAACCCTTTAGATTTCCCCCTAACAATGAAAGAATTGGAAGAAAAATTAGGAGTCCTTGAGGCCAAGAAGGCCTGTGGTGTCGACAGCATCCTGAACGAGATGCTGAAACACACAGACCGAAGCTTCAGACTGGCCATGCTGAAACTGTTCAATGATGTTCTGTGTGTAGGGTTCTTCCCGGAGATCTGGAACAAGGGCCTCATCAGCCCCATCCACAAGAACGGAGACAAATTAGACCCCAACAACTACCGAGGCATCTGTGTGAACAGTAACCTGGGGAAGGTCCTCTGCAGCGTCTTAAACTCCAGACTTCTAGACTTCCTTATGAAGCACAATGCCTTGAGTAAATGCCAAATTGGCTTTCTTCCAAAATGTCGCACATCCGACCACATTTTTACATTACAAACACTAATTGACAAATATGTACATCAAAACAAAGAACAAATTTTTGCTTGTTTCATTGATTTCAAGAAAGCATTTGATTCAATCTGGCACAAAGGATTATACCTAAAACTCATCGACAGTGGAATAGGGGGGAAATTCTATGATTTGATCAAATCGATGTACACAGCCAGCCAATGCGCTGTTAAAATTGGAAACCAAAGAACCGAGTTTTTCCCCCAGGGGCGCGGAGTGAGACAGGGCTGCAGTTTAAGCCCCACCCTCTTCAACATTTACATCAACCAATTAGCCGATACGCTAGAACATGCTCCCTTTCAAGGTCTCACTCTACACGACACCGAGATCAAGTGTCTTCTCTACGCAGACGACCTGGTCCTCCTGTCGCCCACTAAAGAGGGGCTTCAGGACAGCCTGGATCTGCTGGAGGATTACTGTCAGTCCTGGGCCCTGACCGTCAACCTCCAGAAAACTAGAGTCATGATGTTCCAGAAACGCTCCAGATCTCAGGGACCAACACACACATTCACACTATCACACAGAACCATTGAGAGCACAAAAACATACACCTACCTCGGCCTGAAAATAACTCCAACTGGCAACTTTACTTTGGCTGTGAATGAACTCAAAGAGAAAGCTCAAAGGGCTTTCTATGCCATAAAAAGATCCATCAAAATTGACATACCAATCCAAATTTGGCTCAAACTTTTCAAATCAATAATTTAACCAATTGTTTTATATGGCAGTGAAGTGTGGGGTCCTTCTATCAAATTTGATTTTTTAAATTGGGAAAAACATCCGATTGAAACTCTACATTTAGATTTCTGTAAACGAATTCTCAAAGTCCAAAGGAAAACACCAAACAACGGATGCAGGGCAGAATTAGGCCAATACCCTCTCCTTCTAAACATCCAAAAAAGAGCCATCAAATTCTGGAAACACCTAAAAACAAGCGACCCCAACACATACCATTACAAAGCCCTAAAACACCAAGAGCTGAGCATAGCGAGGAGTCCCCTGTGCCACACACACACACACACACACACACACCTGAGCGTAGCGAGGAGTCCCCTGTGCCAGCTGGTGCTGAGACTGACTGGGCTCTCTCCTGCAGAGATCAGCTCGCCTCAGCACACACACACACTCACACACATTCGGCCCGCACAAATTATCACCACAGAACAAGACAAGTACATCACCCATTGGACAAACACCATTAAAAACCAACATAAACTGGAATGTTATTCGGCACTAAATCGAGAGTACACTGTTGCGAACTACCTGAGCACAGTGAGTGATGTGAGACTCAGGAGAACCCTGACGATGTACAGACTCAGCGA